TATAGTTGGAAGAGGGATGCCGTAATCCATACTATAAAATATTTGAAGGTAGGTAAATGACGATTTACCAATTTCCACCATAAGAACGAAATATTTTATTATTAAGTTTTATTGGTTTTGAAACTCCTAGATCTTTTGAGATACATTGAACTTTTCAATGGCATGTTTGAATCTCGATTGTGCCCTCTCAAGTTTGTGACTGGGATGCCGAGGATCACAAACAAGGTGTGAATAACCATACAAATTGACTTGGTACCCTCAACAATATTACCTAATCGATGTGCCGGTTAACCACACACGCTCCACCGATCTATAATAAGGTCAAGTTACCCTTTGCCACTCTTACTAGTCCATGTTAGTGTGCCGTTTAACCACACACGCTCCACTAACGACTTGGTAAGGTACAAAGTGTAATTTTATGGGCTAGCACCAATTTCACATTTTCCTAAAGTAACTAAGATTGGGAATTTATAATGTATAGTTACTTTATAATTCATTATACTTTTAACAAGTATTTAAAGTCGTATCCTACCCGTTCGGCTAACGACCCTCCACCGATCAAGGAAGCGGTGGGTGAGAGTGGACACCCATTAAGTCACCATTTTATAGGCAACAACCTTATACCCCCCTTATAGACCGGCTTCGTGAATGAGGCCTACTAACGGTAAGAATGACATATTCTTATACATATCTATATAATAAAATTATAATAATAGTATAAGTGTTGATTTTTAAACTTTTTAAAAATCTAAGGTTTAATTTGGAATTAAAGTATTAAAGTGTAAGACTTTTCAAATTCCAAAACTTGAGGGCAAGATTCGAAACTATTCCAAGTCTCTTCAATTTGTAACTTATGAGTTTTAATGGTTCATAAAAATGAAGACTCTTCATTTTATGAAACCTCTTTAGTTCTTTAATCACAATTAAAAGAAGTGACTTTTTGTTATCCATAACTTGAGGACAAGTTATGGACACCATCATAGCCATTAAGATCATGAATTAAACACACATGGTGGTTACACATAATTCCTATGATCTTTTAAAAACTCATAAGAACACAAATTCATGTCAAGCAATTTCAAGAAATCATATAACTATATACAATACTTGAAAATTGATAAAAGTCATGTAAAATGGGTTAACATAATCATTATCATTTTGAAAAACAGATTTTACAAGTCCAAAACAGATTGGGATAATGATCTTAATCCATTTCCAGCAACAAAACTCGAAAAAACTGCTCAGCACGCTCCTACTCGCCGAGTGCATTATTCTACTCGGCGAGTAGTAGAATGAATTTGTTCATGGACTCGGCGAGTCCTCCCCATGGACTCGGCGAGTCCAGTCGTCAGAATGCAGAATTTTCGATTTTTAAGCAGTTTTGCATCAAGTATACAGAAAACAAACCAGGTCTCTGATACCACTGATGGGTTTTGAGCATTCTAACACTTCCTAAGTGTACATGCAACCCTAATAACCTTGAATCTATGTTTTCTCTATATACATGCAAATTTCTTTTTCAAGGTTATTTCCTAACTAGCATGGCATGGGGATTACATAAAACATAAAACTAGTAGAAATACATACCTTGTTGTTGCTTGGATTCCTTCAAGACTTTGTGAGCCTAGCACCCCAAATGTTGTGCCTCAAATGCTTCACACAACACCACAAGACTTGGAATAACTTGAGAGAATACTTCTAGCACTCAAAATCGGTTATGCCCTCTCTAGTAACACTAGGTCCACTAGCTCCACTTTTTGCTAGCTATAGGGTTCCTTTTATAGTGTTGTCACAATTAGGGTTTACACATGAATGCCCTTAATTGTCATGACTCTTGATTTCCCATGACCCATGGATTTGTAACTCCCATGGACCATCCATGGAGCTCCATTTGGTTACATCCATAACCCATAAACTATGGATCATTAATCCACCATAAAAGAATTGATGATTGTCATAATCAACCCTATATATTTAATTAGTCTCACTTTGATCACCAAATTAATCCTAGATTAATACTTGATCAATACTAATTAAATAATACTATTATTAATATATTAGAACTTATAATATATTAATAATCATATGTGCCTTATTCTCTCATTTAGTCTATCCAAGTATTGCAATGCCATGCAACCCAAATGGACCATGCCGGGTCGGGTCAAGTACATACCAAATAAAGTTATGGACTTAGACACTATATCCAACATATAGATCATGAGTTGAGAGTGAGTGGTGAAATATGGGAAAAGCTTTTACCCAAACGTTGGCGTGAGTGGTGCAATATGAGAAAAGCCCTTACCCAAACGTTGACCACTGTCATTTAGCGGAGTATGGATGACAACCATGGACTGTTCTAGACTGTCTGCGGAACACTAGCAGGCTCGCAACCTGTAGGTGTTAATGGACTTGAGTGTTCATTCGCTGTACTCTATTCCCCTTCGTGAGGGGTGCAATATGAGAAAAGCCCTTACCCAAACGTTGACCCCCGTCATTCAACAGAGTATGGATGACAACCATGGACTGTTTTAGACGGTCTGTGGAACACTAGCAGGCTCGTAACCTGTAGGTGTTAATGGACTAGAGTATTTATTCGTTGTACTCTATTCCCCTCATGAGTGCCTTTAGGGCATGTATGGCTGGGGAAACCCCTTAGTATGTTCATCAGCTGTATGGAAAACCCATTGACATGTAATTGGGGGGGGGGGGGACCTCCCGTGGGAAATACCGTCGATGAATAAGAGCTATGGACTTAGCATATGGAAAACCCATTGACATGTATTGCGGGGGGAAACTCCCGTGGGAAATACCGTCGATGAATAAGAGCTATGGACTAGCACATAGCGACGATGTGACTTCGTGCCTATTTGACATAAATTGCTGAAGGAAAGCAATGTTGTCACCCCGGTGTTTGTCTTATTTGACATATATTGCAGAGGGAAGCAATGTTGTCACCTTGTTAGTTGTTTTTGTTTAGGATGTCTTGTTTGACATAAATTGTTGAGGAAAAGCAATGCTGTCACCCCTTGTGAAAATCCTTAGGCTAGGTCCCTTGTGATAGTTGTTTTAGGGACGTAAAGTGAGGATAATGGGAATGGGTAATTAGGGTTATTTTGGTTGATGAAATTAATAAATTTATTGTTGATTGAGAACTTAATAAGTTTATTATTTATTGTGGGTTGAAAACCCTATATGCTCACCAGGCTCCCAAGCCTGACCCACTCAGTTTAATTGTATCACAGGTATCGATACGAAGTTGCTTTACACTGAGAGATTAAAAGAGAAGTAGATCACTAGTGTAAATGAATGTAAGTTTCGTTTATGCTTATGTTTTTGTATTGACAATGACATCCCAATGGTTTAAGTGAATAAAATACATTTCTTCGGAAATGATTTGATAACATGGTTATCATGTTTATCTGGGAACAAATTCCGCAACACTTTTAATCAAATGATTACTTTGAAATTATTTTAAAAGCATAAATTAAATCGGTCTTTTCTGGCCGTGAAATTGGGGATGTCACAATATAATTCATAATAATAGCCCAAATAATTATTTTAAGGACCTAATAACATTACTATAATTATTTAAAAGTTATATTAAAAATTGCATAGGCGTAGCTCACTTACAGCGGGTTTTATTAAAAATCGGGCTTTGCTCGGAGCAGCGTTTCCGAACCGAAAGACCCTTTTATTCTCGGGACTCCGGGAGCCTCGGGGCTTCCTTAGGGTGCTAGGGATTTTTCCTAGGGTTTAGGGGAGTTGGAATGGGTTAGAGAGAGAAAGTATTTAGAGAGAGAAGTGGAAATGTGTGAAAAATCCAGAAGAGTTCGCATCTATTTATAGGAGCCAGCAGCTCGGATTTACGCTGCGCGTTCAGCAGCTACACGGCGCGTAGCTTCGGATAAGGTGCGAGGTGGCGAGCATTCGGTGGTGCGACGTGGCTTAAGCTGGACCGAGGGAGGGGTTCGCGTACGCAGCGCGTTCCGAGCTCGGACGCTGGGCGTAATGTGAGGGTGACACGTCTTTCATCCGAGGCGAGACCGTGCTCAGCAAGCGACGGCTGAGATTTGGCCACGTCATCGATCGAGCAGTAGATTTCGTAATTTCCCTTTCCGACTTCTAAAAATCATAACTTTTGCATACGAGTTCCGTTTTTGACGTTCTTTATATCCACGCGTAGGCGGGAACATACTCTACAACTTTCATTTAGACTCCGTCGGCTAATTTTGACTTTATTTTAAAAGTTATATTTTTAACAGGCCGGGACAGGGTTGGTCCGTTAAAAATTCATAACTTCTTCATCCGGCGTCTGTTTTCGTCTGTCTTTTTATCGTTATGCTACTATTAATGAGATCTTCAATTTCCGTTTAGGCTGTATCGGCTAAAAACCGCTCGATCTAATATTCGAACTTCTGGTTGTACAATGCTAAGCCGAAACTTCGAAAAATCATAACTTCCTCATACGAAGTCAGATTTGGGCGTTCTTTTTATGGACGCTCTCGGTTTAACGTATTCTACGACTTTTGTTTAGATCGCTAAGGCTAAAACTCGCTCTATCGTAATTCACTATTTCCGTCTCCTGGTGCCGTGCGGTTTTGCCGTAAAACTTCGGCGGGTCATAACTTCTTCGTTATAACTCGGATTTCGGCGTTCTTTATATGTACGGAAACCTTGAGACATATTCTACAACTTGGTTAAGATTATTTATTCTAAATAATATTTTGTCGGAAAGTCGTTTTCGACCCCTATTATCTCTAAATTGACTAGCCCGGATCTACGGGCGTTACATATTATACTTTTTGAACCATTTCTATTATTCATTTTACGCTTTCCACGAGCCATAACCCTCTTTTCTGCAGTCTCCTTTAAGGATTAACAACCAAATCAATCAAAAAAATATTAGATGGAATTTAGTAATGATTAATAGTATTATACTTCAAATATTTTTAAAACATTACCATGTATTTTGGCTCACACCACATATCACAAAGATACTCTCAATCATCTTTGCTAGCCATATTTGGAGGGGGTGTAGTCTTTGCCTTTGTTGGATCTACTGGTCCTCCAATCCCTTTAAAGTAATCATGCAACTGAGATATGTAGGTTCTCCAAGCCCTTGGCATGTGGCTGCTCATAACTTTGTGAACATTCGCATCCTCCACATCAATTTCAAAAAGTGTCTTCAAGAAACAAATATAATTAGTTGACTAGTGAATGAAATTTCAACAATCATACACTTAATTAGTAGAAAAAAATTACAGTTAGCCTATGGCGTAACGGCAACCGAGCTTCTTCTGGTACATGTCTCCACTCTTTGTACTGCATGCTACAATTGCTACGTAAAATGTAGCCACACTCATACATGAAAGCTGAGACATTGTCACATACTACTTGCCTTGTTTTAAAATTGAACTTCACTGTCAATCTCTTATTGGTTGCTTTCATTGTCTTTCGTGCACCCTTCCCACATGTCAATCCACGTTTTGCGCTTGTAGTATCAGTATCATGTTCTTGTTCGGTCTCAAAAATTGGGTCTATAAGCAAGTAAAAGTAAGTTTATATTTACAACATGACATAATAAATTATATGAAAGTGTAAAATTGAATATCTTTTCTAACCATGTTGTTGCTCGGTTGTTTGAGATCGCTCTATAACCACGTTTGTTGCAAATGTGCCTATTTACAAAGCTAAAGAATTAATCACGATCAAAACATTAGTGTAACAAATATGAACAAAAACTTGTTACTTGTACCTAATATTGGATGAGGTTGATAGTTTGATATTTGAGGGATTGGATCTGGTTGTACCAGTCATATTAGTAAAGAGGTGTAGAAATTGTCCAAAAAGAAAAAATTATTAATAAAAAATATTAGTGAGGTGGTGGAATAGACAAAAATTTAAAGATAGAAGGGTGTGAATTGTAAGGATAGAAAATCTTAAAGAAAAAAAACACAACAATACAAAAGGCAGCCCTCCACCCTCACTGTAGAACACTTGAACTAAAAACACAAGCCAATATATCAATATTGTCAGGTTGATATGATGGTTATGTAATTAGCTATTAACTTTGAATTTGGTGTATTTAAAAGTAAAATTTAATTCTATTATTATGAGTTGATTAAAAGAAAGCAAGTTTAATTTGGACTTCTATTTTGTTTTTTCAACTTATATAATAATGTATAGCACCATAATTAGAATTTTTTACCCCAAAATACAATGTACGTATAACTCAATTTATTACTCTTGATGTATGTGACCACAATTTATATTTTTTTAAAACCTACATTTTAAGTTCCTATAAATGTAATTTATTTACTAAAAAGGCATAACAGTAATTCATTTCACATTTTAACCACACTAACATGTACCTTTATATGGTCGGGTTTAGGGTCAAAATTTTAAAAATATGATTCAATTTGTTTAACCCAAAACCTGATCGGGTTGACCTAATTAACAAACCTACCCATGATAGAAACATACATATTTAATGTAATAAATATTATTTGAGGAAAATGGAATAAAATGTTACTTGTGTTGTAAAGAGTAGTGTGTTCTCCATCTTGTCTGCCTAGTCCACCTCGTCTACCTCTTCCGCCTCTTTTTGACATTATGCTCTTTACAACTGTAAAAAAAATAAACATTTTATAACTCAATCTATAATAATAAATTTAACAATAAAAATATTGTTACAAAAATCTAACCGATAATTATAAAGAAAATCATGCAAAAGAGTCATCTTCGTCGCTATTAAGATTTGGATCATCAGAATCACCATCGGTCTCTGAATCAAGATGTAACATCCCAAATTTCGAGTCCAAAAATTTCATTTTAATTAACAGATCATAAAACATTCATAAGAAAACTGCGTAACAATATATCATTTTGTGAATCAATGTATCATGTCTGAAAACCCAAAACATATAATAGCAACATGTCAGAGTACAATCCCAGAATATCTCAAGTGCGGAAAATCAATGCGTGTGTGTATGATGTGTCGCTACCGCGTCAGCTCTTTCCCCTTCGCTGAAGAGGTACCTGAAACCAAAACTGTAAACTGTAAGCACGAAGCTTAGTGCGTTCCCCCATCCCACCACACATATACAATACATACTGTCAGGCAGTTCTGGGGTGCCTGACTACCCAGGTCAAGCCATTCTGGGGTGTTGGACTTACCCAGGTCAAGCCATTCTGGGGTGCTTGACGTACCCATGTCAAGCCATTCTGGGGTGCTTGACTTACCCGTCGGTCTGTTTCACCCGACTATCGGGGACTATTTCACCCCCTACCACTACCACATAACACACATATACTGCCAGGCAATTCTGGGGTGCCTGACTACCCAGGTCAAGCCATTCTGGGGTGCTTGACTTACCCGTCGGTCCTACGACCGACATCCGAGGACTATTTCACCTCCCTACTACTACCACATAATATCATAGCATGAACATACTGTCAGGCAATTCTGGGGTGCCCGACCTACCCTTCGGTCCTAACGACCGAACTTGGGGACTATTCCCCCTACTAACACTATCACATATAACATATAACATATCATGCTAGCACATAAACATATAGGTAGTAGCAACCTAGATGATGTCACAAAGACAATCATCTAACATACAACTCCTACTGGTGGGCCGGCATTGTGGCCGTAGACCCACCGCTACTGAAAGGTAACTCACCTCAAACGAGTAGCTGCTGATAATCTGTGCGGGGAATCCCTGACTGCTGCTGCTCCGGGAATCCTCTGGCTATAATCCCCACAAAACACTTAATCAGAATCTGATATCTACCCCTTAGGGTAAATTGACTATTTTACCCCAGACCAAGTCCAAGTCAAAGTCAAAGTCAACTTCCAGTTGACCCGACTCGCCGAGTTGGGCCGTCAACTTGTCGAGTCCCTATTTCTTTAACTGTCCTTATCCACGTCCCTACTCGTCGAGTTTAGCAACGACTCGACGAGTTCTCCTTCTAACACAACCTCGGATAAACCTTCTTCCGACTCGCCGAGCGGTATGAACACTCGTCGAGTCCATCTTCATCCTAAGAACATGTCCTGTCCTCGACTCGCCGAGTTGTATGAACAACTCGTCGAGTTCATCTTCAAGAGTTAGGAGATTGCCTTGGACTCGTCGAGTCTGCTCGTGCACTTGCCGAGTCCTATGAACTCCAGGACTATGGCTTATCCCAAAACGTTTGGGTCACTCCCTTGGACCCTCTAAAACCTTTCTTTCACTCAACTGGTTCCCACGAACCATAACAGAAAAGGGGAGTCTAACCTTGGACTCGCCGAGTCCCAAGAACGACTTGCCGAGTCGATGCAGTCCAAGTCTTATTTCTTCGATTTCTGGAGTGCAACTCTTGTCCAAATGATAGATCTAGGTCCCTAAACTCAATCTAGCACGTAAAGTTACAAACTTTACGTGCATGCATGGGACTTTGAGCCAAAATGCCCAAAAAGAAGCTCTTAAGATGCATGGGGCCTTCGATGGGTGCAAAAGCAACCCCTGACTGCCTTGTGACCCTTCCATGGACCTAGATCCGAAGCCTCAACCCCCAACCATGCTTGCAATCATGGTTGGATACCAAGAATGACTTATAAAAGCCCTAAATCTACCCAAAAAGGGATCTAACAAAAGAACAAGCAAGGTATAGACTTTATACCTTCTGAGAACAGCAAATGATGCACCAAATTCGAATCCTTTAGTCTCATCTTGATCCTTCTATGCTCTTCCTTCTTCCTTGTGATCAAAATCCACAAAATCACCCAAAAGCCTTGAATCTTGCACCAAAACACTTAGGGTTTGCTAGGGAGGGTTTCTGGGAGCAATAGGGACAAGTGGGGGCTGAATGAGATGATTAAATAGGGTGCAAACCCTCATATTAGGGTTTTTGTCCAGACAGAGTCTACTCGTCGAGTCCAGGATCCGACTCGACGAGTCCCATACTTAAACCTCGCGTTCTATCCCGCTTCTACTCGGCGAGTTGGGCCATCAACTAGCCGAGTCCCAGGCCAAAAATGTAAAATTACATAAATGAAATCCATACCAGGAACCAGGTGCTACAAATCTCCCCCACTTATTTCAGACTTCGTCCTCAAAAGTCTGCTGCTCGCTCCTGAAAAAGCTCTGGATAATGCTCCATCATCTCATCCACCGGCTCCCAAGTCCATTCCGAGCCCTTCCGGTGCTGCCATTGCACCTTCAAGAGCTCCACCCTCTTGTTTCTCAGATCCTTCGACTTCCGGTCGAGGATTGCTACAGGTCGCTCGATGTAGTTCAGGCTGTCATCGACCTGAATATCCTCTAAGGGTACCACTGCTGAGTCGTCCACCAGGCACTTCCGCAGCTGGGAGATGTGGAAAGTGTTGTGGATCTGGCTGAGTTCGGCTGGCAGATCCAACCTGTACGCCACCTTGCCTACCCGGGCTAAAACCCTGAAGGGTCCGATATATCTGGGGCCCAACTTGCCCCGCTTCCTAAATCGGATGACGCCCTTCCATGGCGACACTGTGACAACCGTCAAAATTGAGTCAAGTCAAAGTCAAACAAAGTCAACAAGTCAAAACCAATCGACTCAATTAACCCTTGTATATTAGGGTTTACACTATGTAATTACTGTACAATGTAATATCTTAATGAACCAAAACGATAAAACATTATTGCACACTCATCGGGAGTGTGTACGACACTAAAACACGGTTTAACGGGGTTTACGAACCTTGCGTTGTGAAGCCGGACACTCAAATTAATCACAAACGAAACCTCTCTAAATCGTTTTCACTCTATCTCTTTCTATTTGAAATCTCTCCCAAATCTCTCTCGAAAGTTACTTTAACTTTTTGTAATCATTTGGGTCATATCGACCTTAACCGGGTCAAAATCGCTTGATTGAACGAGGTAAAACGGGTAAAAATAGCCTTAAGGACCTGGAATTGAAGCTTCAGGACCGAAGCCTCTCATCCGAGGCCTCGGATCCGAAGCCTCTCATCAGGACCGAAGCTGAAGCCTCTCAGGAGACCGAATCCGAAGCCATCAGACAGCAGCTTCGCATGCGAGGGTCCGAAGTCTCGGCCCCGATCCGAGAGGTCTCGCAGACGGCCCCTTTTTACCAGTTTTTCGACTACGACTTCGTTTTAACTCCGTTTTTCATTATTTTAACGTGGGATTTTCACCCAAAACTTTATTTTATAAACTAAGGCCCCAAATATATTAAATCTCCAGGGTTTTTATAAAATGTATTAAAAGAATGGTGGTTGGACTAATTATTGAGAAAATATTTGCTTTTCCTTATTTTATGACAAAAGCAAGCCACCACCACCTCACTCTATGATCAGCCACTCTTTCCCACTACTCCTTGTCACCTTAGTGGACCTTTACACCCTATTTCCAGCTCTTCCCACGTTCTAAGAGCTGGAGGATTGGTCCTTCTCCTCATTCTCCTTAAAAGCCCTTTCATTCTACACTTAGCAACCAAGAACACTCTCCAAAATTCTCTCAACTTCAAGAACTTCAAGGCTTTCTCCAGGGATTTATTTCTTCAATTAGTAAGTATCTTCATCATTCACATAATTATTAAACTCCATTCTACTCAAATCATTGATATCTTACACCAATTCCATCTTATTCGGTGTTAGATTCTCGAATCATCAAGACATCTTCTTAGTGTTCTTGGGTTGAACAATTCCTCTATCTCACTTTCATCTACTGAAATCACATAAGGTGAGTTCATACCCCTACATTTACATGTTTTTCTTAAGTTTTAAGGGGGGAATACAAGTAAATCATCAAGAACACAATTAAACTTTTTCTATCAGATTACATCATAAAAGATGAACTTCGATCACGGACTGTTTGGTCAACTTAAATATTTTAGTTTTCAAAACTGTTCCAGGTGCAAGTAGTTCAAACTCTTAGCTTTAAAATGGCTACTTGCACATCTCCATATGATTTTTCTATAATTTATGGTGAGTTTTACAAAACTGCCTATCATTTCAGAGGCAAACCCGGACCAGTCTGTGATTATGAACATTTTCACCTCTGTTAGAGATCACTAAAAATCATGATAAAATTTACAAACAAACTAGACTCATATTGCAAACTCTCAGAATTTGCGGATTTGGATTTAGAGCTTTGATGATTTTCTATAAATTTTTAAGAACAGTAACAGAAACTGTATACAACAAAAAGTTGCTGTCAATTTCATTTCACCTTGTAACATGTTGAGCAAGGTGTATTCTTTATGTGATTATATGTTATTGCAATATATGACATTTTATCTTAATATTTAGACACACATCAGTTTACAAATGGATTTGGGACATATAAAATATAAACAATAACAAGTGATTATAATCAAAGTACAACCGATACATTCAAACATTTAATAAACTATTTTGAATATGTTTGCATACATTACTACGTACTACCCTTGGTGATAAACTATAATAGGTATAGTTTATGATACATTACATAATACATACATTTAAAAAGGGTACATTTATACAAAGGATATTTTCATTAAGCAAGGTACGGCCATACGGTACCAAGTTTTCATAACAAAATTCCGTAATGACTTTATGAAACATTACATAACACATACATTTAAAAAGGGTACATTTATACAAAGGATATTTTCATTAAGCAAGGTACGGCCATACGGTACCAAGTTTTCATTACACTACATGTAAATTCGTTAATGACTTCTGTGAGACATTCGATTCA